ATCGAATCATATTTACTTCCTTTTAAGGGAAAAAAAAGTTAATTTGTGTGATGATTTTGTGTTTTTCTTCATTTTTCCTATTTTAAATCTTTCACTTTAGGAAGAAAGTTATAATGAAACAATCGCCTGTGATCCACTTACAATTCATTTGCTCCTCAAATCGCTGATGTTCTCACTTCATTGCCTAACTTGTGATGTGTACATTTCAGATATCTCACATGTCATATTTACTGATGAAATTGGATCTATAATGACTTCAAGTGAAATGTTAAATCATTGCCAATCAGATAAGTCCAATGGCGATGCTTGGAAACTGAGATGGCCATGTGCAGGTGAGCTCCCAGCCCAGCTAAAGCTAGAGATACAGAACTTGTAACTGCTTATGGAGCCCTAAACATACTATACGATGAATATGTCAAAATCGAATCATATTTACTTCCGATGATTGTGTTTTTCTTCATTTTTCCTATTTTAAATCTTTCACTTTAGGAAGAAAGTTATAATGAAACACTTTCATCTGCCTGTGATCCACTTAAATAGGTAATGTTATCATACAATGACATCAGATTTGCTCCTGCAAAGCCAGAGTAAAGGGTGAAAATCGCTGACACAGCAGCAAGGAGACTCAGGGTTCTCACTTCATGCACTGCCTAATTTTTTTGTTGCCGGAGTTTATATTCATGTGAGTAATTCTATACTTGTATACAAATATGAAACTAACCTTAACTCATTTTCAACCACTCTGTCCCAAAATCTCTCCCTTACTGCCAGGGATGGTCCCTTTAACCCTAGCCCCTTTAACCCACTAATGACGGGTGTTCCACATATGAGACACCCCGCCAGTGTGACGCTATATCGAGGCACACGCTCTGATGCAGCAGCGGGCCGTGGCCGGCGGGCGGACAGACTCTGGGGCAGCTCCGCCTGCCAATTCTGTAGCCGCCTGGAATCTTTTATTTTCGGCTTCAAAATATACCGGCGTTAATGGGTTAACAGATTAAAATTGATGAAAAATATGTTTCCTCCATCCTCTGTCTTCAAAAAGCTCTTACTTTTCCTATCCACTAATTATTAAGGTTAGTTACAGGAGTGATATAATAGATAACCATTTTTGGAAGTGAGACTAAAGGTTGCAATAAGATTTTTGTACTTATTTAGAAGTGGGTCTGATGATACTATTAGAAAAAAATAAGGAATGAATGTCCTTTAGAATTTGGGGAAAACAATCTGAGCAAATAATGTAATATGTACCAATTTATTTTCCCACAACAGTTTCATTTCCATAACTATTTCAGAAGCTTGAGCAAGGAAGGTAATAAGAGATTTAATGTACTCTACCATTTACAACTTTGGGACTGATGTGAATTTCAGCATTGAGTATTCTTCTCCAGTTATTGATAACAACTATTCCTCCGATCCAAGATTATCCCCATTACCTAAATTCAATATGAACTTATGCAAATATATGCACAAATAATTAACTACATTCCATAAAGATCAAAAATGCTGTTCAGTCATCCCAAGTGGTTATGTGTAAATATATAAAAATATGTTAGCTTGGATGTCTGTAGCAAATAAAAAAATGCATGAATTAATTATAGATCTATATTGAACAAATGTGCCTTTGATCTACCTGTAGATATCACTAGTTGAGAAATATCTAACAACTAAGCAGCTCAAAAGCATTTTGTCTTAACATGAACAAGCCAATTTTGTTTTTAATGGATGTGCTATGTCATTTACATTTCACAAAATTTGTTCAATTTTACATCATGTTCTGACTGAATGCTTTTAAATATTTAGTCTGATTCACTCAAGAAAATATAACTCCTCTTTGTTATTTTATGTAGAAAGACATGTAAGACTTCCACTGGTTGAAATATACAAATTACTTCATCTTAAAGTTAATAAATTCTGTTTGAGCAAATCTCTTCCCCATCACAAAGAAATTGATGAACGATCTTATTTAAAGGGTCTTGTCAATAAGTGGTTAGAATGATATCAATAACACCACTGATATACTTCTCTTTTTGATATGTCAAATACTCCTTCCCTAAAACCCTTACAATGTCCCTCTAAACAAAATTCAGTTTCAAGAGCCTATATGACTAGATAATTAAGTATCGCATTTATCATTTCTAAGTATCATTTGAACAAAATATAAAACAAAGTTCATGATTCAGTATAATCAAGACATTTTTTATGAAGCCTTTAATGCTCACCGGCTAATACAAGAAATTATAATGGATATGAATCAGCAAAAGGTTGCATATGGTTTCTGGTTTCCAAGAAACACTTTATGACATATCTAATGCAAATGAAATTCTTCTTAAATTGCTCTGTGTAATCTGCATCTACTGCACTGATGGAAATATATATTGAAGAACTAGTGAAGACTATATAAACCTAAAAAGCTTTCATATACACAGACCTTTGCAACAAAAATAATGAATAGCAATGAAATGCATGAAAGGGATGAAACTGTGATGTAATGAAATATAATGGAAAATCAAAAATGAATTTTAATATTAAGAATGAGACTCAAAAATTTTAATAACTCTGGTATTATTTAAGAAAAACTAGTAATACTATTCAGGTGTTCAGAGAATGAACAAAAATACTTATAAAACCTTTCACTACACAAGAAAACCAAGTCTTACACATCTTTCTTAATGAAAAAAATCCTAAAACAATGTAAATCGAGAGCCAATTATTAAGCAGATTTCTTGGATCTAATCAACATTAGGAAACCTTCATAAAAAAAGCACAGGAATGTCAAAATAATAAAACAATGATATGCAAGTGTTAATTCAATGTCTGTACAGTTTAAGTTGACTTTATAAAGACTGTTAACAGGAATGAAAGGGACTTGCTTATATAAAAAAGCATTGTTCAGCCAATGAAATCACACTGCACTCTCTTGACAAAAACAAAATCAATAAAACAAAAGTATGCATTCTAACTAAACTCTTCGGATGTGGGAGGGAAATTGAGGGAGGACACATTGTAGATCCTAAAAAGATACACAGTACATGCTTCACTAAAGAACTTCTTGACAATAGTTAAGTACAGAATAACTGAAGAATACTTACTCTATAGGTTACTTCAGAACACAAATATTCACCAATTTCTTAATATTGCATATAAATCAAAATTACTTATGGCATGAAAAACAAACTCTGGATGACAGTATATCAGCATTAATCTTCCAACTTACTGATTACAACTTCCACTAACTGCATTCCATATTAATAAACTTTCCTAATAATACCTCTAGTATAAGCCATCATGACTCCTATTCACAATCACTGATACCTATCTTCAGATACTATTTAGCCAAACAAATAAGAATGAACCCTGGAACTCACCTGTTACCGGCTGCCTGGCTATTCCGAGCAGGGGCAGTTCTCTGTACACCTTGGCCTGATGCTGGGGTTGAGGAACATACATTAGATGTTGCTGTGGAGGAGCTGGCTGAGGTGGTAGAAGAGGAGGTGGAGGAGGAAGAGGTTGTGGATGAAGTAGAGGTTGCAGCGCCACTGAGATTAACTCCTAACTGGTTCGTGATGGATGATACAAGGTTTCGAATAAGCTCTGGAGTGGGGGCTGATCCTCCTGAAACATGTAGAATTCCAGTGGTTACATGATTTACAAAAAAAAAAAGTTTGCATAGCAAATTCACCTACATAATTATGTATATATATATATATATATATATATATATATATATATATATATATATATATATATATATATATATATATTGAAACTATCAAATTTGTTGGAGAAAAAATAATGATTAATGTGATTACTCTACTGTAATTACTTAAACTCCTAGTCTAATAATCTCCAAACAAAGCTATGATATAATAAAATATATATTTTCATTAATATATATACATACAGGATTACAAACATCAAATTACTTTTTCAGCTGCAAATGTGTTGGTGAGGAGGAGGCAAGGAGAATGTGGTACAAGGAGGGAGGGAGAGGGAGAGGGAGAGGGAGAGGGAGGGGAGAGGGAGAGGGAGAGGAGAGGGAGGGAGAGAGAGAGAGGGGAAGAGGAGAGGAAGAGGAGAGGAGAGAGGGAGAAGAGGGGAGAGGGGAGAGGGAGAGAGGAAGAGAGGGAGAGGGAGGAGAGAGGGGGGAGAGAGGAGGGGGAGAGAGGGAGAGAGGAGAGAGAGAGAGAGGAGAGAGAGAGAGAGAGAGAGAGAGAGAGAGAGAGAGAGAGAGAGAGAGAGAGGAGAGAAGAGAGAGAGAGAGAGAGAGAGAGAGAGAGAGTGTGTGTGTGTAAAAGTGTCGTATATGATCAAAAACATACCTGCACTTCCAGACCCCTCAGCAGAGAGAGAGTCAATTGTGATTCCATGTGGCCCCACTTCCATTAGCACTAGGTCCCCACCATCCATCGGGAAGCCTTGCACAGCTCCAAGATTCAGCATTGAGGCTAAGTTCCGTGCCTGAGCTGAGGCCGTCTGACTTCCTGATGAGGTAGCTCCTGATGATGAAGAGCTGGAGGCTGCTGATGTTGTAGCTGATGTAGTGGTGCTGGCAGACGAACCTACTTGATTAGAGCCACCAGTTGTCTGTCCCTCTACATGCGCAGTGCCAAAAGCGCTGGAAGTGGAGGAGGATGTAGAAGCTGGCCGAGGGGTTGAGGAATTAGATGTACTAGAACTTGAGGTCACATTGTTGGCAGACGATGTGACAGTTGTGGAGCTTGGACGATTTCCCCCTCTTGAACTAATAGTTACTCTTGTTGGGTCTGTGCTGGTGGTGACATTGATTTGAGCCTGTGAAGAAAATGTTATTATTCATAAAAATCTGAAGACGACAGAAATGACAGTGCAAACTGTTGCAGAATTATAAAGCAATGTTGAAAATTAATAAACATCAAAATCAAAACCATCTCTGCTGCTGTCATAACAATGACTGGGTAAAAAGGTAACATCAGACACTACTACTAACCTGACAAGATGGGCTGGGAATGATCGGTCGAGCACGCAATTGTCGAGGTGGTGGTCGTCGCAAGTCAACCATTATGTCACTGATTGCATGCATAGCGTGTGACACAAAATGCAGCACTTCTGACACTCGCCACAAAAGCCACTGCTCTTGCTGAAGTGATGCTGCATCCTGAAAGGCCAATCATCCTATTCAGCTCCATCCTTACATACAAATTCTCTTTACTGTGCCTGGATGTCAGCTTATTTCATATCAAATTAGAAATTCCTTGCAAAGGAAATCTTTACTAATAATAGCAATTATACTATATCATCATGGATTATGTATGTGATGTATGTATGGTATGTATGTTGTGTGTGTGTGGGTGTGTGTGTGGTGTGTGGTGTTGTGTTTGTGTGTGTGTATGTGTGTGTTGTGTTTATATATGTGTGTGTGTGTGTGTGTGTGTTGTGTGTGGTGTGTGTGTGTGGTGTGGGTTGTGTGTGTGGTGTGTGGTGTGTGTGTGTGTGTTGTGTGTGTTGTGTGTGTGTGTGGTGTGTGTGTGTGTGTGTGTGTGTGTGTGTGTGTGTGTTGTGGTGTTGTGTGTGTGTGTGTGTGGTGTGTATGTGTGTGTGTGTGTGGGTGTGTGTGTGTTGTGTGTGTGTGTGTGTGTGTGTGTGTGTGTATGTGTGTGTGTGTGTGTGTGTGTGTGTGTGTGTGTGTGTGATGTGTGTGTGTGTGTGTGTGTGTGTGTGTGTGTGTGTGTGTGTGTGTGTTGTGTGTGCGTGTAATATATATATATGTATGTATATATACTATGTACATATATATACCTATGTAATATATCAGATGTAAATATATGTAAATATATGTAAAAATATAATATATATATTATATATTATATATATATATATACTATATATATATATATATTATATATATATGATATAATACATTTAACTAAAGTCATTCCCAAACAATATGTTCATAAAAGTTCCTAAAAAATGGAATCAAAAGGGGCAGTCACACTAGTCCATTCTGCCAACCTATCCACGGATGGAGGGCAGGCTGGGTGGTTTAGTAACTAATAATTCAAGCAAATCATATATCAATAAATAATCATATCATCAATAAAGGACATCTAACAAAACTTTATAATATAAATATAAAGATTCAAGAATAATAACAATAAAAACCTTATAACATATAGCCATATCATCCAAGCTAAAACATTTCATTTCCAGTTAATATCTCATAAAACCATCATATCAATCAATACAATAATCTTTACACATGACTAATCATAATACTCAAAACTTGACCATTTAACATCAACTTGCATACTCTATGAATGTGTAATGCGTGCGTGATGTGCATGTGGTGGTGTGTTGTTCCGTGTGCTGTCTCCGTGCTTTATGTGTGCATATGCGTGTGTACACATGCGTCTCGTTTGCAATTGGGGAGGGATCACTTACCCCGTCTCCATAGGCGTATCATTGAGCCATCGTTTTGGTGTGTAACGCGGGTCATGTTAGGGTTCTAATCGACGCTGTGATAATTTCTTGTGTACAGGTCCCAAAAATTTCAACCATTACTGAACAGCGCTGGGTGTCAGCGGACACCGACATTCCTAGACCTCACCGTCATTACTGTTTGCCCATCTGGAAAGAGGTTGAGTGAATTAGAACCATGGAGAGCTGCGTATAGTATTTATAAAACTGAAAGGAAGAAGGGAAGGATAAGGATAAGGATGGATGGCATGAGAGACGTGAGGAGGGGGAAAGAGAGATGAGATGATTAGATTTGAGACAGGTGAGGAGGAGAGGAGGAGGAGGAGGAGGGAGGAGGAGGAAAGGATGAGGAGGAGAAGGTGAGGAGGAGAAGGTGAGGAGGAAGCTGAGAGAGGAGGAGGAGGAGGAGTTTAGGGGCAGGAGGGAAGGGAGAGGGGAGGGGGGGAAGGAGGAGGAGGGGAGGAGGAGGGAGGGGAGGAGGGAGGTGGGAAGGGGGAGGGGAGGAGGAGGAGGGGGAGGAAGGGGGAAGCAGGGAGGTGGGAGGAGGAAGGAGGAGGGGAGGAGGGGGAGGAGGTGGGGAAGGAGGGAGGAGGGGGGAGGAGGGTGGGAGGAAGGGAGGAGGGGAGGGGGGAGGTGGGGAGGAGGGAGAGAAGGGGGGAGGAGTGGGGAGGGGAGGTGGGAAGGAGAGGGAGGGGGGGAGGGGAGGAAGGGAGGGGGAGAGAGGGGAGGGGGGAATGAGAGGGGGGGAGGAGGAGGAGGAGGAGGAGGAGAAAGAGAACAATAACAACAACAAATGGGAAAAAAAAAATAATAAAAAAATAATTAAAAAAAAAGAAAACGAAAAAGGAAAAGGCAAAAGAAGGAAATGGAGAAGGAAAAGACAATACAGAATAAAAAGAAAAATAAGAAGACAAGGAAAAGCTAAGAAGAGTAAAAAAGCAAAACAGTAAGCAAATAGGAAGTTAATATTTCTACTCTCTCCCACACTAGCAATACCAACCTCCAACAGTAGCAGTAGCTCCACCCGATGCTCCTGCTCCACTCGGGGCTTCATGACCTTCCGAGCCACTCCTACTGCCCGTATTTTCAGATGTGCTAGCAGCGTTGTCTGTTGTGTTACTTGTAGTGGTGTTTGAAGCCCCTGTGGTGGGTGTGTTCTGTCTGCCTCCCCCTGAACCTGTTGGTCTCATGTCTGGTGATAAGAGAAACTACATTATAACATTTGATAAATATTATCATGTATGTACTTATAGATATATATAGACAGGAACAAACATGTTTGGGTATATGGCATAACTAAGTCTGCATGCAAGGACAAATCTACTGCTACTGAGCCAACTAAATATCTATTAACACTAAGCTGTAATACAATCCAGCCCAAATCTGGATATTCAAAATAAATGCTCTGATAACACTTACTTCAAATATTTCATACTATAACATTTGCAACAATCTTGTAATATAAATACAACTAACAAAATGATAAAAATAAATTTCCTCATAAAAACTAAACATGCAATGCAACTACCACTATAGATGCACATATTATCTATGAAACTCATTAGTATAAGAACTGTTAAATTGGAAGAATATCAAGCATATTATCTATGATACCACAGGCATTCCAATCTAGGAAAGTTGACTCCCCATACCGTGGACTATTCACATGCCACACCTACACAAACACACGTACCTACAGACAAACATATCTGCATAAAAAGAGACATCCCCAAAGAGACATACAGACATATACCTGCATAGAGCGAGGCAGACACGTACATACACTCAAAGAAAAGAACACAAACACTTACTCAGAGGGAGAGAGACAAACATTTGCACAGAGGTCGACACAGATTTCCACTGCTGTAGAAACACATTGCAAAGAGACAGTTACACATCCTCATGAGAGAGAGATGGCCTAATCTGCAGAGAGAGCAAGATACACATACCCACACAAACACACAAGCACTGACACAAAAGGGGAGAAAAAAAAAAAAAGGAGGGAGGGAGAGGGGAAAGGGGAGGAGAAGGGGAGAAAAGAAAGAAAGAGAGAGAGGGAGAGAGAAAGAGACAGACAGACATACAGAGAGAGACAAAGACAGAGACAGAGAGACAGACAGATAGAGAGAGAGAGAGATACATAGAGAGAGAGATACAGAGAGGGTGAGAGGGAGGGAGAGGGAGGGAGAAGGAGAGAGGGAGAAGGAGAGAGGGAGAAGGAGAGAGGGAGAGGGAGAGGGAGAGGGAGAGGGAGAGGGAGAGGGAGAGAGAGAGAGAGGAGAGGAGAGGGAGAGAGGAGAGGGAGAGGAAGGAGGAGAGGGAAGGGAGGGGAGGGAGAGGGAGAGGGAGAGGGAGAGGGAGAGGAGAGGGAGAGAGAGAGAGGGAGAGGGAGAGGGAGAGGGAGAGGGAGAGGGAGAGGGGGAGGGAGAGGGAGAGGGAGAGAAATGCACGCACTCACAAGCACAAAAAAAAAAAAAAAAAAATCTTCAGCATAAACTGTAGCTCTTAAAATTCACTTTACATTAGTATCTACTTCTAAAAATAACCATACGCAGTTCTGTATGTTTAAAATAAGATTTGGCTTTCTCATACTTAACCCCTTCCCGCCAGGTGGCATCTACATACATGCCATGGCTGTTATGGACCAAGTAGCGGGTGGTATCATCACGACCATTCCCGTGCCATCTGCTCATCAGACAGAGCTTCTTTTTCTTCCATAGTAGCGGCATTATTTGTAGGGTAAAACTTTTGGGGAATAGCACCTGAATGAAGGTAAACCTTCTCATTTGTATTTTTTTCTTTAAATGATGTCAAAATATAAGACTTTAGGTGTCTAATGTTGCCCGCAAACTACCAAATGACCCAGGCGCGAACAGGGAAAACTGTCAATGCGTGCCAATAATCCCGCGTTAATGGCCCACAAGCCAAATTTTCAACCAGGGGTCAATGGATTAAAATAAGAAAAAAAATTTCTTTGGAGAGAAAAACTTCTCTATATCCAAATCCAGGCTGAACATAAAAATACTAGGAATACTTTTTCATCCTCTAAATCTATTTCAAGAACTATCTCAGGAAATAAGAATACCACTAGAACATGCATCTAATAAGGACCCATCATCTAGAAGGCTGCACACTTATTGCAACAATACTCTACAGAATCTGAGAAAGAGCCAGTTATCATTTTAGATGTGCAACATTTGATTGGAAAATGCCCTTAACTGTTTTTTTTCTTTCTTTCTTTCTTTTTCTTTTCTTTTTTCTTTTTGTTATGCTTAGGCCTACTACATTATATGAAAAAAGCACAAAATGGGATTACAAATGACAAGTGTTATGGAATTCTATAAGTGCATAGTCACTCATTTAAGCAAAATTAATGACTTTCCATTAATCTAATGGATCCAGGTGATGTGACATGTCAGGTCATGAAAATTGGTGTTTGAATACACCATCATGGAAAAATTTAGCAGAGGGGTGGGGTGTCGGGATATTTTACACGGAACTGTAAACTACCTAAAGATATGTTATAGAAACTGGAGACTATCACCATTTTGATAAAGCATATCAACTGACAAATATAGACCTTGGAAAATGGCAAAAAAGCAAAAATCAACCAAGCAGAATACAGAATAACAAGGGGAATAAGGGGAAGCAAGGTATCATGACACCATGAGTGTATTTGTGTGTACCAGGCCTACAAGACATACACCTCTGACAGTTACCACTCAAGTAAGCCTAGTGCCTGGATTTTAGGCCATGTGTGGGCTTTGAGCCACCTGGATCCAGTTTAATGATAACAATTAATAACAGAAAGGGAATACATTAAAATAGGCCTGAAACAAGGGTATACCAAAGTAAAAAGAAAAAAAAAAATACAAACCTGAAATAATTATACAAGTTATTTGTCCAAGAATACCAATGTCACACAAAGGGCAAATCCCTCACAGAAAATATCCTCAAGATGGCTCAGCTTAAATTCTACTACACCATGCATTTAGCTGCCTCAGAGTCATGAACAAAAAACAACTTCAAGTCCTTGGTAATAAGAATGACTAATTAACATACTGAAAAAAAGAAACATGATAAACAATGAGAAGGTTACAACTGCAATTTTTCTTTTTCAGTTATCAATTTATAATACAAACTTTGAACCAATACCCAAATGAACAGTGAAGAATTATTTGATGTGCGACTCTGAGGCAGCCTACTGGTCTTACTTGTAATTCTGACTGTTAGGGTGCGCAAACTACCCGGAGGGATGCCACGAGGAGGAGCACCGACACTACTGCCAGAGCCAGTAGTCCCTGATGTGGTGTCTGTGGTGCTGTTTTTGTTGTGGTTGTGTTGCTCGTGGTAGACTCTGTGGTAGATGTGGAGGAGGAGGAAGCGCCACCGGTTCCTGTGTTGGTGGAGCCAGACATTCCGCTGCTTGAACCCCCACGTGCCAGAGAAGACAGGGCTGAAGCTACAGCTGCTGAAGCAGCCTGTGCAAGGCCACCTGCCAGACTGCTGTTTATTGCACCCATCATAGGAGGGGTCATGGATGCTGGGACCATTGCAGTTGGGTCCATACTGAAGTGATACAAAATTGAGTTACTAATGAGATTAATAAATTCCTTTATTCAGATGATAGCACTGACTATCAGAAAATATATACATAAAAGAACCTCAATTCTCAACAAACCAGAGAAATCAGATTTTCTACTTTGCAGCACTTTTAACTTACTTATTTAGGGCATCCATCTCTGAGTACAGTGCTTCCATCTCATCACTAGGTGGTGTTGTGGCTGTGCTTGAAGCTGTGGCTACACCTTCATCTGACATAGATTCACCTGCTACTGGTCGTGTATCTTCTACAGCATCAGTCTCCATGGCTCCCCTTTCTCCTCTAGTATCATCAGCCTATTCCATCACAAATAACAATTAGTTTTAAAGTATACTAAATTTAATGCCTTGTATCAATCTGTATTTTGCAAGCAAGATGCATGGTTGATCCTATCACAATTGGGCCTGAAATTTTTGAGATGTAATATTACACAACTGTCTAGACTTTTGTCTAAACCCAAGATGTGTATAGCTGGCCCACTCATTGCAAGTGATGACATGTATATACATCATAGGCCATTCCATCATTACAGCTATAGCTGTACCCGTCACTGTAGGGGTAATGCAGAAATTGTTAATTTCTTTTATATAGCCAAAAAGCACACACACACACATACTACCTGAACTGGACTGCTAACTTGATCATTATCTGAGGTTGATTCTGTGGAGGGTGTTCTTTCCTCTCCTGAGCCAAGTCTGCGATCCATTTGATCGAGGACATTTGATGCACGCTCGAGCATTGTCCTGGCTTGGTGTAGGCGGACACCAGATGAGCTAGGACCTTGTGTTGGTGGAACTGGATGACATTAGCAATGTTAATATATATATATATAAAAAGGAAACAGCTCATTCTAAATTTAAATTAAGGGCAATAAAAAGGTGATAAAACCTAAAATTCTACAGGTCCCCATAAAATGGGATTAATTTAAACCTTTTTATACAGTGGAACAGTACTTTCAGCACATAACGTAATAGGAAACAAGGAAATTATTTCTAATAAATGATAATACTGCAGCTTTTCTGCCAAATTAAATTTGAAAAGTTGCTATGATCATGTACATACATCTTAAATCATATTATGATAACATATATTCAAGACTTACTCTTATTTCATTATTTTTCTCCATACCAAAGTAATTTGAATTATCTAGATGCAATTAGATCCTAAGCTCCTCACGCTTACACAGGCACTCACTCTCATTCATATTCTGTTCTCATACTTCTATAGTAATCATGTTTGATTGTATCATTCAGTGATAAATTTATGAAATACAATTAATGAAAGATTTAAGACCTTCACATTTTACCAACTATTACTGTTCTCAAAAAGATTACAAAGTATGTCAATATCATTCCCAGAGATTATAAAAGCAAGAGAAACCGGTTTTTACATCTGAATACCCTTAACTATTACCAAACTCACAAGGGTAAGTAAAGCACATCAATATAAGACGAAAAACCAGTAAATCTTGGTTTGAGTTGATACACTTCTAGCTATTTTAAAACATTGTAGAAGTGTATAATATGTATCAATATAATGACAATATTTTCTATAATGTAAATCTAATTTAAGTCAACAGTACTTATGACCACATACATAAAATGCTCTTCAATAAATTTCATTGTGTAACATTGTTAGGTAGCCAAAAAAGGCCTGCAACAAGTAAAGACTCTATAGCTTTAAAATTGCAAATATATGTAGCTACTGATGTTGTATATGCTTAAAATCATATTGAAACCATCTCTTACTCACTCACTCAGTCTTGTTACTTTGCACTGATTTTTTTTCTAATCATAATTACTTTATCTGTATCTCATTATCACTATCCTTTCATTTCCCACGATATCCATTTTCCTCTCTCCCTCTCCTTTTCATTCTTATTTCCTTCTTGCTCTCCTCCTTTTCTTACACCCTTCCCATTCTTCATTTTCCTTCTTCCTGGTCCCTTTAGGACTTTTTTCCACCCTACTCCCACCCATTCCTCCATAACTGTTACACACTAAATTAGATACCTTAGTATTACAAGTATGAGGGGTGCTCATTACAGATTTCCCAACCCACTTCTGCTTATCCTTGTAGGCTAAAATTTCACATGCATAAAGATACATCTCTATAGGTCATGTGTTGATTTGCAGTCCTTAGCTTATAACATATTTTCTGTTACAGGGCTGAAGTCCACAGTCCACAGGTTGCATTCAAAGCCATGGAGTGACTTCAGAAATCAGAGCCTCATCATCTTGGAACATTTGCCCTTCAAAAATGACTTCTTGGATAAAAAGGGGTGGAAGTCAGATGGTGCAAGGTCTGGAGAATAAGGAGGATGAAGTCATACAAACAGGACTGCAGTTCCATCAGAGCAATGTGAGTGTTATGAATATTGGGGGGGAGGGCATAATTAGTCTGTCAAAAAAGTTCTCTTGGTTTTCTTGGCACGTAGCTAAAAAAGCCTTGGAACAATGGACTCATTCCTGTTTCTGGAGAGGTGTGAGTAGCCAGGGAACCCATGGAGCAGACACCTCTTGCACATGCATATGGTCATGAATGATTTTGTCCACATGAATGTCTTGACAAGAATCTTGACATCTTGGGCTGGTTAATGAACAGTAATATGGCTAGCTTCCTAAATAGTAGTCTCCACTTGATGGATGGTGTCCTCAACAATAGAAGACTGGGGTCATCCTGAAATAGGAGCTATTTCCACAGATATCTGACAACAAATAAACTGGAGATGCTACTGTTTAACAATGGTATATGATGGGGTATCCTCCCCATAAGTTGCTTTAATTTCATCTGAGGTCTCTTGTGGTATGCAGCCACTCAATTATAAAAATCTGATCACTGCTTGATAATCCACGGATTACATCTTCACACATTAAAGAAAATATGTTTCGAGTTAAGGACTGGAAATCAACACATGACTTATTGAGATGTGTTTCTGTATGCATGTGAAATTTCAGCCTCCTAGGATAAGCAGAAATGGTCAGGGTACTACTGTTTACATCAAGAAAATTGCATTATATAGGTTATGATGTTTTTTCCCTTTTGTATTTCACATTAGAATAGTAAAATAGTTGAATGGCAACAGAAGTGCTATAGACATTCTATGATACTATTCACATATATATCTAGCAACAAAATATTGTTATTTCCTTATGTGTGCAATCCTTAGGGGTTTCAATATGATTTAGCTATCTACTACATTGATATAAACATAAATCAATGATAGCAACCCTGAAGGCCTTACTTGGATGCCATACGATATTGCCAGATACAACAGTGACAGGATTTAGATGAGTACAATCAGAAGTGCTGCTGACTGTACATGGCTCACCATGAGACTCTACTCTGATTAATCAATCAAGAGAGTACCCATTTTCCTTAGAAGTAAATTAACACACTAACTGTGAATACAGATCCGAATCCGCACACATGCATCTCTCACAGCACATGACACAACACACCTATGGGCTCATTATCTTCAGGTACAACAAATGATCCAAGAAGGACCTGTGCACCTTCTACTCCTGGCTGGCGGCGGATGTGGTGGTGGTGGTGATGGCTGCTCCCTGCGGCTCCATTGCTTGAGGAACTGGCACCTCCGCCTGCAGTGCGACTGTTGGCCTGAGGGGGGGCTCTCATCACCAGGTGCACCACTTTTTCATGCACATCTGCAGAAGGAACATCATTAAGGTCCAAATTTAGGACTAAAAAAAAAATATAGATCATTATAAATTCCTTTTTTTTTGTATAATTTGAAAGCTTTTATGAGGGAAGAAAAATAAAATCATCCTTAGATCTATGACACTTAGACTGTGTTTCAAATTCACCTTCGATGCATGTTACTTTTGGACGATGTAATTCCATGAAAACCAAAATCATTTTAAAGCATAATAATCTTTGCTGTAATTTCAGTCATCTAATAGGATTATGATCAAAATATAAAAAGCTATAATACTGAAAAATTAGCATACAACTTACTATAATCTGCAAGTTTCTTATCATCCTGTAAGACGCGACCACAGTATATCAGTCGCTGTTTGTCTGCTGGGATGCTCACAGAAGATGCTATCCTATCCTTGAACTGCTTTACAGTGATCTGAAAGGAAAAAACACTTTATCGGTATTTACATATACTTAAATACAAATTCTGACAAACCAAAATGCTTGAAGGATAACTAATACAAAAACAAATAATGATACAAATAATACAAATACTATACTTACATCATCTGGAACTGAGAACCTGTGATTCTGGGAATCCAGGGTTTTAACCGTGACGTCTATCATCTTGGTGGTTCTTCGAACTTGTACTGCAATAAATAAAAACAATCATGTGAAACTATCATACTTATAATGACAGACAAAGTATCAATATCTAATAAATAGTCTTAAAATCACAAGCCATTGGATAGTAAAAATTCTCTCTTTGAATAAATTACCTACAATACATATAAACAAATAGTAAAATAATCTATATATATTCCAATACACAAGTAGGTTCATAATACCAGTTAAGTAATGAAAAAGTAATATATTCACAAATCTGTCTGTACATGTAAGTGGGGCTTATTCATATAACTGAGGGTTATGAGTGTGCCTTGAAAGATGAGCAGAGCCAAATCAGTGTCATAGATGACTCACAAGGAAGGGCCTGGCCTAGTGAAGTGCACATTCTCTGCCACTGTGTAACCCAGTGGTGCATTATACATTCTATATATATATATATATATATATATATATATATATATATATATATATATATATATATATATATATATATAAATAATTATATATATATTAATATATATAAATAATCATATATATATAATTATAAACAAATATATATAGATTGAATGATAGATAGATAGATAGATAGATAGATATACATATGAAAACTCTGCAGAACAAAAAACAGACAGACTATGTAAAAAAAGAACTACATTTACTTAACATTTTATCCTATAATTACATCAATAGTTAGACAGGGTATCAATCAGACCCCCAGTAATTTACAATTACAAATATTCTAACACTCAATTTTATTACAGCGGCATCAGAAATTGGCTGTTAGCCAGCAATATTGGGTTGCTGGTACTTATTGGCAGTTCCCTCATCTGCCCTCGTCCAGCACTTCAAGCACTAGGTGCATTTTAGGTGCTTGTTTTCTAAAACACAAACACACACACACACACACACACACACACACACACACACACACACACACACACACACACACACACACACACACACACACACACATATTATGAGAACTTCAAACAACAAAAATATTGAATTTATCCAGAAAATTAAACAACAACATTAGTGTTATATCTAATGAGAACATATAACAACAAAATAAAAGGCTGAATATATGGAGAACACAGAAGAAAGTAAAAATTAGTTACATTCAATAAAGACACGAACAGGTTGACAGTTTTATCTAAAGGCCACAGTCGGGCTTATCAGAGCTTGGATCCTTTGTTGATCAAGATAACGTGCACACATCCTGTCAAGAACCTGTACTGCTCATTCAGTTGTGAAAACGGGAATGTCAACCAATCAAAAACAACAACCAAAATTATACAGCATATGTATGTATTCACCAATCAATCAGTCAATCAATCAATCAATCTCTCACAAAATTCATTCATTCATAAGAAGAATAACAATAAGAAGAAATAAGGAAAATGCGGAGGAGGAGGAGGAGGAGGAGGAGGAGAGGAGGAGGAGGAGGAGGAGGAGAGAGAGAAGAGGAGGAGCAGGAGGAGGAGAAGAAGAAGGAAGGAAGGAAGGAAAAAGACGAAAGGAAGAAGAAAAAGAAAAGATGAAAGGAAGAAAAAATGCTAATCATATACATAAAAATATACATATTACACATACACACACATATATACATATAATCTATCAAATCATATTTTACATGGGTTTGTGGAATGTTCTGTGGTGTAGTGTGTGTGTTGAGTGTGTGGTGTGGATGTGTGTGTGTGTGTGTGTGTGTGAGGATGTGTTATGTGTGAGTGTGTTAGTGTGTGTGGTGTGTAGTGTGTGTGTGTGAGTGTGTATGTGTGATTGGTATGTGTGTGAATGTATGATGTGGATGTGTGTGTTGGAATGTGTGATGTATATGTGTGTGATGTAATTGCACATTGTGTATAGTGTGTGTTGTAATGATAGTGTTGTGTTGATATAATCATGTGTCATATATATATGTATACACAACTTATATACATTTATGTATTATCATACATATATTCATTATATTATGCACATAATGTATAGTGTTACATAGTACTATATGCTGTACATGTATGTGTTATGTGTACATGCATGCATGTAATATTATGTGATGTGTATATGTATGTGTATATGTGTATGTGTGATGTGTGTGTGTGTATGTGTGTTGTATGTGTGTATGGTATGTGTACATGTATATGTGTGTATGTATGTGTATTATGGTAGATGTCTATGTATGGATATAATGTGTAGTGTAATGATGTGTATGTTTATCATGTGTGTGTAACATGTATGTAATGTATACATGATGTGTGTATTATGTGTGTATATATGTGTATATATGTGTATGTATGTAATGTGGTGTATGTATACATGTGTTATATTGGTGTGTTATTGCATGTTGTGTGTGTATGCTTATATGTGTATGTGCTATGTATACTCTGTATGCATGTGTTGTAGTTATTGATGTAATATACTATGTGCCAATGTGCATGATATGCATGTATAAAATATATGTAACATTATATATTTACATGTGATGATTATGGTAAATATATATAATGTATGTTAATACATGTATAATATGGTTGCAGTATGTGCATGCAATATTGTATGTAATGTATTATTGACTATGTGTATATGTGTATGTATGTATGCATGCAATTGTACGTTATATGATGTGTCATTTGTATATATGTGTATTGTGTATAATACAATGATGTATATGCATGTGTGTATTATGTATTGATATTTATATGTATGTATATGGTATTGTGTATTGTTAATGATTTGTTATTATTGTGTATGTGTGTATACTATATGTTGCATAGTATATGCATGTAGCATGAATGTATGTCATGTTATTTCATATGTTGTATGTATGTATATGTATTTATATGTGTCATTGTATGTATATATGTATGTATGTACATGTATGTCATGTATGTATGTATATGTATGTGTATATGTGTGTATGTATGTATGTATGTATATGTCTATGTATTGATATATATGTGTATGATGTTATGTGTACAGATGTATACATGTATGTGTATGTACATGTAATGTATATGTTATGTATATGTATGCATGTATATGTATGTATACATGTATATGTATGTATGCATGTATATGTATGTATGCATGTATATCTGTGCATGCATGTATGTATGTTTGCATGTATATCTGTGCATGCATGCATGCATGCATGTATGTATGCATGTATATGTATGCATGTATATGTATGCATGTATATGTATATGTATATGTATATGTATATGTATATATATATATATATATATATATATATATAATATTATATATATATATATGCATGTAGGTGTGTATGCCTATGCACATATGTACGTATATATGTATGTATATGTAAATATGTGTATGTATGTATTTGTATATATATGTATATGTGTATATGTATATGTATGTATATGTATGTATATGTATGAGTATGTATATGTATGTATGTGTATATGTGTGTATATGTATTTGCATGTATATATGTATAAGCATGTATACATGCATGTGCATGTGTATTATGTATTTCATATGTATGTATGTATGTATATGTAAATATGTGTATGTATGTATTTGTATGTATGCATGTATGTATATGTATGTATATATATATATGTATGTTATGTATGTGTATGTATGTGTATATGTGTGTATATGTATGTGCATGTATATATAAGCATGTATACATGCATGAGCATGTGTATGTATGTATTCATATGTATGTATGTATGTATGTATGCATATGTATGTATGTATGTATGTATGTATGTAGTATGTATGTATGTATGTATGTATGTATGTATGTATATGTATGTATATGTATATATATATATATATATATACATATACATACATATAGATACATAGATAGATAGATAGATAGATAGATAGAGATACATAGATATAGATAGATACAGATATAGATATACATAGATAGCAAGGTAGCTAGACAGACAGATGTAAGTAAGAATTTCATGTCTAGAAATTTTTCACAGGCTTTAACCCATAGCACTTATGCACATACTAATGTCAGAGATCTGAATCCCAGGCATACTCCTTGTTGCACACAAGCCATGACAAGAGAAGCTGCTTTTGGTTATGTACATATAGACTAGTTCTAAAGCTATGCCCAGCTTCAGCAAAAAAAAACCATCCTACTACAGGTGTCTAGTCTAATGTTCATATATGTTGGCAAAATTAGCAAAATTGTGGGGCCCCTATTGCCTTTACAAACCTCGTAATGTCAAATATAAACGATACTCTGAGCTTCCTTGGAGAGCCAAAGATGGCTCTGAGTATCCCCAGTATTACAGTTACACTCAAGTTAAATACCCCTTAACTAATGCTTTTTTGTTAATCTTAACAGTATGGATGTGCTAAGCTAGAGCAAACTGAAGATAATATTCATAAAGAGGACAAAAACGCAGTAGTTGGTATCTGCAGACATGAACGGTTACGCCACAAATCAAGTAGAAAGATTGCGAAAAGTGCCACTCATATCCTAAGCTCTATCTTGCAGTGCAAACTGAAGTGAAGACAATGTTTTAAAGATGGCGTTCAAAAATCCCCTCAGGAGGGCACACCTTGTCATGGCAACTTAGATTATTAATTAGATTTTGTGATGTTGAGTGGTAAAGTAAAGATTTACCACTGTTTAAATATTTCTCTTAATCCATTTGTATTAAACATTCTTATATACCCTTTCATTTTCTTTGATTCTTGTGTAATATTCTTTAAAAAAAATCAAAATAGAAATGGGAGCTTGCAGACAAAAACTAATTTCCCCCTTGAGTACACAAATACTTTTCAAATTTGAGATTTTCCGTTAGGTATAACAACAGTACATTCGCTGACATATGGGACTGCAGTAGGTAGGAATACAGGCGGGTGAATCCTAATTTTCTTTCAATCTCATAATTGTGCATGGAAACCAACAGAGCCTGAACAAATGGTTATCAGCACCCCAGTATCAAGTATGCATGATACCCATTATTATTCATGACTATCAAAATGCAAAACAATGTTTCTTGAAATTGGGTTTTATCAAAAATATGGTATGTGCAAAGGGTCACATATAATATTTGCTACTGAAATCAGAATAATAAATATGTGCAGGTATAGACTGCATGGATGTCCATGCATAATATACATCAATATTAATGGAACTCTTGCCTAACACACCATAAGCGACAGGCAAGCAAGCCCTAAAACCCTAAATAAGGTCCTGAGTCGCCCCCACACTGAAGACACTGGAACAAGGGACCGATTCGCCGCTGTGAGACCAATCTCAGAACCCCTTTGAGATCACGTTGCTAGAAACCCTATGGCAGAAGAGACCCAAAACTTTCGGAAACATCATTAACATCTCTCTAGATAAAACCTTCCCGAAATCCTTAAAAGACCCTTTAAAACAAAATTTTTCCGTCTCTAATCACACCTGCCACTTCGCACACATGAAGGCAAGTAGACCTACTTCAAAAACCTTCCTGGCAGCACCTTAGCGTGAGTAAGAATACCAAACCAGGTTTCAAACGAGAGAAAACATGAAGGTTACACAGAAAAAGAAAGAAAAAAATGGGCGAAGAGAAGTAATGGTCCATAAAAGCGACACAAAACATGTTTCCTTCTAACTACCTATTTCCACATCTCCTCCTCTTCCATATCTCTCCTCATCATCTAAGACACCTTAATAATGCTCCAGATAACCCAAAACCCGACTCAGTACTGACCTAAAGCGTTGAAAAGAGCATCAATGTTGTTGTGTGAGTGACGGGGAAGGTGGAACAGCTGACGGCTCGAGGAGTGCGTTGGCCCAGCAAGTGAAGGTCGGGATGCGCAATCGGCTTGTAATTCTCCTAAATTCTCGTTTAATTCTGGTCTAAATGATTGACGATCAGAGCTATTAATTTCCCCCTTGACTTTATATACTCACTATCATTTATTTACATAAGGAGATTCTCCCGTTGTGCCATTTCCAGGAGAAAAGTATTTGTTATCACTTATCACATCTATTCCCTAAAAATGACGCTTCGTAGTTATAATTATATCCATTTAACTAAAGACACATCAGTACTTGAATAATTTCCAGCTAATGGAGATTCCCAATATGGTTATTGCCACAACCTCTAACTTTGATTGTCAATTTGATCTTAGAAATTGCATCATCCAAATACATTGATGATGGTAATGATGATGATGACGATGCTTGATGATATTGATGATGATGATGATGATGGTAATGATGATGATATTGATGATACTGATGATAATGATGGTAATGATGATGGTAGTAATGATGAAGATGATGATGATGATGATGATGATGATATTGATTATGATGATGATGGTAGTGATGATGATGATGATGATGATGATGATGATGATGATAATAATGATGATGATGATATTGGTGATAATGTAATGATGATGATGGTAATGATGATGATGGTAATGATGATGATGATACTGATTATGATGATGATGGTAATGATGATGATGATGGTGGTTATGGTGATGATGATATTGGTGATGATGATGATGGTAATGAGGATGATGATAATGATGTTAATGATGATGATGATGATAATGATGATGATGATATTGGTGATGATGATGATGATAATGATATTAATGGTAATAATGATAATGATAATAATGATAATAATCATAATAATAATAATGATAATAATAATAATAATAATAATAATAATAATAATAATAATAATAATAATAATAATAATAATAATAATAATAATAATAACAATAATGATAATAATGACAATAGTAATGATAATAATGATAATGATAATGATAATAATAATGATCGTAATAATAATAATAATAATGATAATAATGATGATAATAATAATAATAATAACAATAATAATAATAATAATAATAATAATAATAATAATAATAATAACAATAATAATAATAACAATAATAATAATGATAATAAAAATAATGATAATAATGACAATAGTGATGATAATAATGACAATGATAATGCCAGTAAAATGGTGATAATGAAAATAACAATAATCACCCTCTTCATCATCATCATAATAATAGTCGACATCATCAACATAATCATCTTCGTCTTCACCATCATCATTTTTATTATTATAGTCATTATCATTGTTGTGTTGTCATTACTATTATAATAATTATAATGACTATTATCATTATCATTAATATCGTTGTTATCATTATTAACATCATTAATATTATCATCATTATCATTGTTGTTATTGTTGTTATTATTATCATTATAATTTTTGTTATTACAATTACTATTACTATCATTATCATTATCATCATTATTGTTATTATCTTTATATTATCATTATTATCATTACTATTATCATTATCATAACCATCGTCATTATTATTATCATTACTACTGCTGTTGTAATTATCATTATTATCATTACTGTCATTATCATTATTATTTCTGTCATCCTTATCACTTCTATTTTCACTATTGTAATCATCATCATGGTTATCATTACTATTATTACCGTAATTAAGTCATAAGAATCAAAGTTCCGTTAAAAAATTTCACAATTCCCTCCAAAATGTGATTTGATGACTTTAAAAAGGTGTTCACTTCTCAAAGTTCCTGCTTTGCGTCCACCGCCCACAGGTCCCGACTACGCACGCCCAAACCAAAAATTCCATCATTTTCAATAAATTTCACAATTCCCTCCAAAATGTGATTTGATGACTTTGAAAAGCTGTACTCTCATGTTTTTTTTTATTTAGAGAGAATACTTTTACTGGTAAATATGAATGAAAAGTGACTGAAGACTGTTGTTCTCTCTTTAAAATGCTTGTAGAAATGAAGATATGTGTGATGAGAACTATCCTCATCAGTTTATTTTTTTCGGACGCAAAACAGAAATTTTCATTTTTGTGGTCTTATCATCAACATGTAGAAATGAATAATATATTATGAGTAATGAAAAATATCCTCATCCGTTTTAATTTTCTCGAACGCAAGACAGGAACTTATCATCATTATCATTATCGTTACTGTTATCATTACTATTATTATCACTATTATTGTAATGGCAATAGTGATAATAATAATAATAATAATAATAATAATAATAATAATAATAATAATAATAATTGTTATTATTATTATTATTATTATTATTATTATTATTATTATTATTATTATTATTATTATTATCATTATTATTATTATCAGGTCTTACATCTCGAGGAATGGAGCTCGGCCTCGAAAATGTGCATCAATTGCTTTGCAAAGAGGTAAAGTTGTCAACGAAGATTACCAGATAACAAGTTGATTAGGAGCCTATAAGATGAGGAACATTACAAATATTTACTGTCAAATGATATAAAATCATCAGATATGACAGAAAATGTCAACAAAAAAGCTGTAAGAGAAGTATTAGAGACCAACAAAGAGTATAAGAGAACGTACCGAACGGAATTCGAGATCAGGTTAAATAGAGATAACATCATCGAAGCAACGAACGCCTGGGCTGTTCCATTTACCAGATACACTGCGCCTTTCTCAGACTGGAGGAGACAAAGAGATGCAAGAACTTGATAGTCGTCCTAGGGAGCTGATGACAATACATTAAAAACTCTATCCAAAGAGTAATGTGGACTGGTTGTAAAAAGGTGAAAGAGAGATATTACAGATATCAATATTAGGGCTAAGAGCTAGAACGAAACGTAAAGAAAGTGAGGAACGACTACTAACTGCTACTCAGATATAAATGTACGAAAAAATGCAAGAATACAAACAGAAGAAAAAAGGAACGGAGAGGAAACTGGAAAGAAACAGCTCCACACGACGACTTCATTTGACAAACAGAGGAAGTTGCCGGAGAGGATCAATGGAAATGATTACAGAATGATGGCATTAAAAGAGAAACAGAAATGCTTATTCTAGCAGCACAAGAATAAGCCGTCAAAACAAACCGCGTCAACGATATGATCGAAAAGTCACAGGCCTATAGTAAATTTGGACTGCAGTGACGTTGACAAAAAAGCTAATCAACTCCAGTGAATGTACGGTGACGTTGACGAAACAACAAATCACTCAACAGTGAATAAATAACTCAAATGGACTATAAACAACGGGTATGACTGGGTATGGATTACTACGACACCAATAGGAAATATAAAGACTCACAAAGAAGGTAAACTGGTGTGATTATCTGCTAGAGAGTGAAAATTGTAAGATTATAAACTGTGGAACTTCACGGCCCAGAGTGATCACGCTATAGAGGCTATAGAGGGTGTCAACAAAAGAAAAATATCAGCATTATTGACATTATTTTGACGTTGCCATTCTATACCATAACTGAGCAAAGTCAAAGGAGAAGGAAAAGACCGATAAATCTCAGGAATTTGAAAAGAGAGACAATGAAGCACGCAGGTAAGAGCAGCCCCCCCCCTTGCCATCGGGACCTATAAACACCACAAAACACATCAAGAGAAGAGTTCAGGAATTGGGAATTGAGCAAGAGCTGCAAAAAAAGAACTTGTCTTCCTATCTGCTTGGATATATTATATATATATATATATATATATATATATATATATATATATATATATATATATATATATATATATATATATATATATATATATATATATATATAGTAGTGTGTATGTGTTTGTGTGTGTGTTGTG